TACTTAATATTTCTGATCTTTTAAATAAACAGCTCTCAGAAGAAGATCAAAACAGGCTTTTTTCAAGTAAACTTGATAATTCAAAGTCTAAACAATTTTTCTAAAGCGTCTGGATTAGTAGTTAAATATAATTATACTAAAACAAAAAGTGAAATGTTTATCTGTGATTCTGATGTGACCTCTGTTGATGGAATTGTAGGAAAGGATGTTGTTAAATATCTTGGTATTTATTCTGTAAATCTGCCCAGGAAGGAATTTCTAAATTAGATTCTGCCAAATATATATTCAGTGTGTGGTTACAAAGGGATCTTACAATCTAGGGCAGAATTTTGTTATCTAAAGCTGAAGGTATTTCACGCTTTGTTTATCCTTCTATACCACTTTACATTGATTCTAACACTCGTAAATCTATCAACTCTTCATTTTAAATTCATATGGAGACATAACCTTAACACAACCATATTCAAAGGCAGGTGAAGAATGTCTTAGATTTCTTCTATTTTTTTTTTCCTTGAACCAAATTTTTAAAATAAATTGGATAAAAAAATTTGAACGTTCCTACTAGTGGTATGCATGTGTAATTGCACATCAACGCTGACAACAATGCAAAAGTATAAAACCGACGCATAGCCTACGGTGTAGAGGTCACGGTTTAGGTCCAACGCAGAAGTATAAATACACCTTTAGGCCCAAAGTATACTTTGGTTTTTACGTGTACGTGAGGGTCACACATACAGCGCGCGTGACGCAAATTTCATCACCAGAATAGTGCGTGCACCATCCTATTTCTGTAACTGCACGTACTTTCTACATGCAGGTTGCACATGCACATGGACTTGTGAGAAAGCGGCAACTTCGTTAAGAGTAAAAATAAATTTTCAGTCATAACGTTTGAAGAAAAATAGAGCAGACACTGGACTAAGATAAAGCTTTCTAAAGCACATATGTCGACCACCTGTGTTCATGCACGCTATCAAATGGAGTTTACTTTATATGACTGTACGCATACTCTAGTGTACATGTAAAAAAAGTGAAGTATGCTTTAGGCTGGGCTGTGTAGCTGTAAGCATCTCTTAACTCTGTATCATGCTGGAAGAAAAACTTGGTCTCTGTTTGCATTTTGAATATTGAGAGAGTACTCTGATTATGGTTGCACTTATTGTTTGTAGTTAAGACTTAGAAAAACTTATTTATTTTTGTTTTGTTCTGTTTTTATTTCTATGTTCAATTTGTGGAAATGAGTTCAGTTAGGAGGTCACACACAGCTTCAATCAGAAGTTCTAGAAGCTCATAATAATTCATGTACTGTTCTAAGGTCTGAAGAGACTCATGTGAAATCATACAGAAGAGAAGCCAGTCAGTTGAGTTTGTGGCAAAACCTTTTAAAGTGCTTTGTCTTTTTCTATTATTGTCTTTCGCTGCATATGATAATTTATACTTATAATTTTTTTTATAATTTATTTATATTTTTATGTAGAACTGAAATGACATTCATTACAAGATGATTGGGTAAAACATTTCAAAATGCTCCTGCAGGCTATTTTTCCAGTCATGTATTTTGTAATTGAAGATTTCTTACAAATCTGTGTAAAAATGATTGGAATATGTGCAAAGGATTGTGGGTGATTGAAGTATGTGAAAGATACACCTGCTGCATCCTTCAAAACGAGTCGAATGAAGGACGTCAACCAAAGTCTGTGGACCGTTTTTTTTAGAGAAGAGTGAGCGGATGTTCTGATGGACAACATTACACTGTAGACTATTCAAAGGCTATAAGAATATATTCTAGGAAGTTGGAGGTGGTAAAACACCTTAATGAAGTAATATTCCCCTGATGATCACATTATTTTGTCCAACCCTTCTGTATAACTTGATACAGCAGCTGTTTATTTTTGAGCAGATTACATAATCATGACAGATTGTCTAAATAGACACAAGTTATGAAATATAATGTGCAGTAAAAGCTGATTTGTTCTCACAGAGCATCATCATGGTGAACTGCTGTGGTCTCGTGTCTGAAAAAAATGAACCAGGTATAAACATTTCTTAAAAACAAAGTGTAACCGTTTATATTTCATAGACACAATATTTCTTTGTAATTAGAGATGTTTGTTTTGAAGAGCATTGATGTTGAGATGTTTGTGTGTGTGTGTGACGCTTCTCTGTCAGTTCCTCTGAAGAGCATCTCGGTGGAGCTGCAGGTTCAGGATCACGTGGCGTCCGTCCGCTCCTGTCTGCAGTATGTGAATGAGGAGGAGCGTCCGCTGGAGGCCGTGTTCGTCTTCCCGCTGCCCGCCGATGCCGCCGTCTGCCACTTCAGCGCCAGGATTGGAGAGCAGGAGATCAGGGCCGAGCTGCAGGACAGACAGAGCGTGAGTCTGCATCTTTCTCTGATGTGTCTGATTGTGTTGGAGTGTGTGGATACGGATGAGTTTGTCTCTCGCAGGCGCGGGATCAGTATGATGATGCTGTGAGCTCGGGGCAGCAGGCGTTTCTGCTGGAAGAGAGCGAGGAGAGTTCAGATGTGTTCAGACTGAGTGTGGGCTGTTTGTCTCCGGGTCAGAACGCCTCCATCACCATCGTCTACATCATCGAGCTCAGCGTCCAGGCCGATCACGCGCTGCGCTTCTGTCTGCCGGCTGTACTCAACCCACGATACACACCAGCAGGTGATCCTTACTGATCTCAGGAGCAACATGTATTGATATGTTGATGAATAACTCAAGATCATAACCCTGTACAGGCCACAGCAGTGACTGTCCACATCTTCTGTAGCTTAATTACAGAAGTATTTTCTAATATACTGATCCACTGCTCAAGAAACATTTCTGATTATCATCACTGTTGAAAACATTGTGTTAAGTCAGAAGATTAAATAAAAAAATGTATTCATGAATTTAATATGAAAATTAAATGTATCAAAAGTGACAGTAAAGAAATGTAAAATGTTTCAAAAGATTTCTATTTTAAATAAATGATGTTCTTTTAAACATTAGGTTTCGAGTCTCAGGTCCGGCAGGAATTGTCGTGTGTGTGTGTGTGTGTGTGTGTGTGTGTGTTCACTTGGCTACAGATCACTTTCGATTCTCAACCAATCAGCTGCGGCCTAAACCAGCCTGATGCTCAGGTCACTTCCAGTCAGAACAGAAGCTGCTGTTGGGCTCTAGATTGATACTGAGTTATAAAGTATCTTTGTTTGTCTGTGTGATTCTCTCAGCTTCAGCGGCCGGTGTAGTTCCAGAAGTTTCCTCGGCATCTGTTATTCCTTACACTCTGTCTCTGAGTGTTGAAGTGAGATCTTCAGACCGCATCTCCAGATTCGAGTCCAGCTGCACTCTGGATCCTCTGGAGTTCCTCGACGCGCAACACACTCACGCCACGGTACTGTGTGTTTCTCTTTCTGTGTGTGTGTGTGTGTGTGCGTGTGTGTGTGTGTGAGAGAGCGAGTGTGTGTGTGTGAGAGAGCG